ACAAAAAAGTAATTTTTCAGATGTTATAAAAATATGTCGCGCTTTTATGTCTGAAAATACAAAGCACTCTTCACTGACAAGTCTACTACAACTTGCATTGCACAACGAAACAAGTCAATTCAAAATACAGTGTAACACACACATAGCGAAATCAGCAGGACACAGAAATCTTTTCGTTTTATACAAACTTCTCTGCATCATGTACAGTCGGGCAAAGATAAGAAAAAGACAAATGTTTTAATTTTTCATTATCGCTTAACCCAATTTATGGATGTATTGCCCCTTATACTACGATAATGTCCATGTTGGGTTCATAAATGCTTAAACGCTTTGAAAAATTGGGACTCTGACATTGATTTTTTTTATCCACCTCTGCTAGGATACTGCTTTCATTAAAAGAAGAAATTCCGCACTGGTGAAATTCTATCCACACTAATTTTTCTAATGATAGACACATTGGCATCAAGACTTATGTTCAAATACATGAGAAGAGCTGAAAAAAGATCCAGAAAGTGTGTTTCTGTATATGTGAGTGTGTGTTGGTGTGTCTTTTTTGTTGGGGTTTTTTTTGTGTGTGTGTGTGTGTGTGTGAGAGAGAGAGAGAGCGAGAGAGAGGGGGAGAGTTTCATTTATTATGAATACCGTATCTAAATAACACAGTGTGGTCAGTGCCAACCACGCAGTAAAGCCCCACTTAAAATAAAAGCTTAATTCTCTGAAATTATGATTTTCTGTTGCTTTTGATAATTTGTTAATTTTTTTAAAAACTGGCAACCTGTCTTTATTTAAAATTAAACAGGTTCCAAAATGAGTCAGTGAGGCTCACTGCTTGTCATTCCCAAGCCCCGACTCTGTAGAATTTCATTCTTATTAGACCTTGTAAGCAACGTGTCTAGCATTTACGTGGTAAAATTAGAATCCTTTTCTGGAGAATGCAATTCATAAGCCCTATTGGGTAATGACACAATCAGTTGTATATACTTTAACAGCATTACAACATTGGGTGTTGCAATAAACATAACTGCTTTTCTATTCTCGGAGGAAATTTGGAAGTACACATTCAAAATATGTTAGTTTTTTGCTTCTCCTGTAAAATGTGGACGATGCCCTTACAAGGTGTAATCAGAATGGCAGTGATTTACATCATATAAAGATGAGAACTTTTCATTTTCAATAAATTGTATCAGTAATAGAACATTAAAATATGACCAACAGCAATGTGAAATATCACCTTAATGCTTAAACAAGCGATTACAGTTAAAGCACAGATTCCCTGTGCTGTAGTTTTTCCTGCAAAAAAACTATAAAAATGTTTAATTCTTATATGGTTACAGATGAACAAGCTTTGAAGGAAACAAAGGCTGCAAGGCAAAACAATATGTGAGGCAGCGAGGTGGAATCAGGCTCTCGTCAATTTTTGGGCATGTAGAGTTACTGGTATCATCTTAAAGCTTATTCACTTGTCTTTATTTGGATGGAAAAAAATATCATTTTATCTTGAATGCAAGTCGAGATATTTGTGAAAGAAGGAGGTGAGGGTCACCTGTTTTCAGAGGTAAAATTAGTGAGAAAATGGCCGCCAAAGATTAGTTATTACCTCAGCCTGAGAGTCCGTGGTAACTGAAAATTTACATTTTTGTGCCTTTGATCAACGCTTTTCAGAAAAATCCACACAGAAATGAGTTCTTTAATGGGCATGAAAGGCGTTGAGCCCCCCCAAAAAATTTGATAAAAATTCACTAACTTGCGGAAAAAGGCAAGTTTCTTCACTTTAATTATTTTGATGAGAGCCTGATTCCACCACGCTGCCTCACATATGTGAGGAACCGTGATGAAACCAGACACTGGTCAAAATAATTAAATCAAAGAAGACGTAATTTTTCTTCCCGTTTGTTCTTTTCATCCATTTTTTTTTTTTTTTTGAGGTGTTTTTTTGGGGGGTTGTTTGTTTTGTGGTGTAAAAGAATAAGTTGACACCGGCAAGCCTATACTGGCAAAAATCTCACCCTGCACCGACCTGAACAGATTCATGGGACTTGAGAGACCCGTGCACTCACTAGTGAGTTCAAGAAGGGACCGAGTCGATCGGGCCGTAGAGCAGCGGCCATTGAGGCATTGAGTCGCCCTAGATCGCAGAAGAACAGAAATAACATCCATCAAGAGGGGGGCCCCCTATCTTCATTGTCAAGAAACATCGAAAGAACCTGCATCCAGCAGATGAGCAATTATTCTACAAGCTATTTCGGCCTACAAAGAAATTTCACCATGGCTTCACAATCGTTTCCAACGCTCAAAGTGTCAGAGATGGTTAGGGTGTTTAGAGGGGAAGGTGACATTGGGGCATGGATTCAAAAAGTGGAACTGGAGGCGAGGTTGACTAAGGTGAAAGATCTGGCCGCGTTTATTCCATTATACTAAGAAGGGAGTGTGTTCGCTTATAATATATTTAGAGTTGTCCGACAAGGATAAAGAAGATGCAGAGGTTATAGAGAGGAAGAAGGACGACTTTAATCACATCAATGTTGCAGAGTTGGAGGCGGCTTTGAAAGGAGTGAACCTTGGAGTACAGAGGGGGTTGAAAGACATCAAACTGATGACAGACTCTGGTTACCGTGTGTGAGTGGATCAGGACAATGCTGTCAGAAGAAAGAAAGCTAAAGACCAAGGGAGCGGCAGAGGTGCTGATAAAGAGACAACAGAGTCTGATAGAAGAACTAGGGCTGGAGGTAGAAGTCATATGCGTGGGTCCGCATCCAACAAAGCAGATAAGTTGACTAGAGTCAAGAGAAAGTGGTTGCATACACATGGCATACCGTCATCGGTGTGCGCGGCTTCATTGGGGGACGTGAAGGCTCTGCATGAACAGCATCACTTTGGTGTGGAACAAACCTGGCATCTGGCGAGACGGGTAGACCCTTCTCAACTTCTGTGACTAAAGATGCAGGGAAAAAGGTGGTGCATGCATGTGAGAGATGCCATTCCATTAATCTTGCAAGCGCTCAGCATGAACCTGGAGAGCTGGGGGTAGACTCAAATTGGAAGAGGATGGCCATAGATGTGAGCCACTAACGAGACCTTCCATACCTGACCATGGTTGACTGCAGCCCAGGAAGGTTTGCGAGAAACGAGACTGTTAAATTCCATTTGTGAAGAGATCGAGCAGGTATTTCGGGAGAGGCCCTGTGGATGAATTGCTAATGGATAATGCGACTGCATTTAGATCAGCGGAGATGGGAGAGCTCTTGCGGCGGTGGAGGACTATGCCATATTACAGGGCTGCTTATAGAGCATCTGGCAATGAAATAGTTGAAAGAAACATCGCACCATAAGATCTATAGCAGAGAGAGCTCAGATTTCTCCCATGGAGGCTGCTTTTTGGTACAATATGTCGCCCAGAAATGGACAGAAAAGAGTCAACGATTCCCCAGCGTTATGTATTTTCTTACTCTTGGAGGCATCCTGAGGTGGAGCCCCCAAATGATCATGAAGGCACGCAACCGGTCGTGAGTGTCGGTGATGAGGTTTGGGTGAAACCGCCATTTTTCAAGGTGCACTTCGCAATGGACAAAAGGAGTAGTTTCTGGGATCAACTCTAACAACAATATTGAAGTAGATGGAATGCCTAGACACGTACTGGATCTGAGACCAGTGGTCAACCCACAGATGGAGGAGCAACCGCTACAAGACAATGTACCTACAGATGTCGGAGTGCGTCGTTACCCGGAGCGAAATCGGCGCGTCCCTGCGTGGGTGCAGGACTGTGACGTAGGTTGATACGAACAGTCATTGGTGGGTTATTGTATATATAGGTGTGTAAGGATATGACTGCCTTTAAATGTGAACGTATGAGTGTTACATTTGGACATTTTCAATTCAGCATTATTTGAATTATTTTTGGTTGGACTTTTTCTTCTATTGTGCGAGTTATTCGAGTGTTGTTAGATGACTTTTCTTTAAAAATTACAAGTTCAGTCGGGTTGTTTGTGGTGATCTTAAGATCACGGGGGCGTGTGGTGTAAAAGAATAAGTTGACACCGGCAAGCCTGTACTGGCAAAAATCTCACCCCGCACCGACCTGAACAGATTCACAGGACTTGAGAGACCCGTGCACTCACTAGTGAGTTCAAGAAGGGACCGAGACAATCGGGCCGTAGAGCAGAAGCCATTGAGGTGTTGAGTCGCACTAGATCGCAGAAGAACAGAAATAACATCCATCCAGAAGGGGGCCCCCTATCTTTATTATCAAGAAACATCGAAAGAACCTGCATCCAGAAGGTGAGCAATTATTCTACATGTTTGTTGTTTCAGGGGGGGGGGGGGAAGTTTAACACCTTTTATGTTCATCTAAAAACAAATTCCTGTGTGGATTTTTACTTTTAAAAATTGAGTAAAGCACACAAAAATGTATTACAGTTTCCAAGGACTCTCCAGTTTTGGAAGTCACCAACTTGCGCGGCCATTTTCTCACTAATTTTACCTCTTAAACCAGGTACCCCTACCTCCTCCCATCCAAAATATCTCCACTTCTAAGGTTTTTTGTTGTTGTTTTTTAAGCAAGACAAATGAAAAAGCTTCAAGATGATACCAATAACTCGATATGCCCAAAAACTGACGAACGCCTGATTCCAACATGTCGTAACACAAAATTTTAAGTGCCCATTGAAAAATGAAAGGAATACACATAATTCATCTGCAATTAAAATTCCCACTGAAGTGAATGAAACCTAAACTCATTTCATTTCAGCTTATTGAACTTCAGAGTCTCACACACACACAAGCGAACTTATATGCAAACCGACAAACACACACAACATACACACACATACAAAGATACAAACACAAACCAGCTTCTAAGCGCTGGAAATTAACATTTTCAGGATGCTCTACAAACGGCTTTAAATCCCACATCCAAAATATTTCATTAAAAAAACATGGACAGTATAGTGAAAGAGTAATCTGTCTGCTCCCTCGTCAACACTTTGGAGCCAACAAGCCATAAAGATTGAAAAACAATTTTACTGCTGAAAGCATAAATTATTCAGAACAGGTTTAAGAAGCTACAATGCCCATTTGCACCCATTCAAAATACAAAACACATGGCCTTTGTCCATTCTCAAAGGAGTTTCTTATAATTGAAACCCGAGCTTTTTATCGTCCTGGCAAATGCTTCAAAAAGGGTGAAAGTTCATTTTACGTCTCTTCTTTCTTAGCTCAGTAATTCAGCTCTGGAAGTCGGACTCGCAACACGGCAAGCTGGAAAAGAAAAACGAAACAGTCACAACAAAGGTGAATGTGATCTAGGGCTAATAAAAATCTTTGCTTCCTAGGAAAAACATTATTTACTGTCATGCAGTAAATACTTGCAAAGCAAAGCATATTCCCTTCTGCCAACCATTTAGTATTCAAGACTTCCTCTCATTTCCAGTAGTGGGAAAAAAAGACTTGAGAATCGACACAGCTTTTTCCAGTAGTTCCAGCAACAACAAGTGAGTGTAATTGTATTAAACTATAAGTAACAGCTCCTGTTTACACAGATAAATATCCAATAATGGGTCACATGCAACGAAACAAAAAAAACTGAAATGCAGTGATTTTAAAAAAAATTATTTTTGACTTCAAACAGATCAAAACTGCTGTATCGTCAGTGAAATTCAAAGTGGGAATAAATATCAGTCTTTTGCCTATAATCTATAGAAACCTAGATTTTTTTAAGATCTTTTAGACAGCTTCTCTACACAGTACTTCTCTTCCCATACAACAAGTTAATTGGTTGTGCCATTGCCCAGGAGCATAACATCCTTTTAGCCAAGACCAGGTACTACGACAATCCCGATTTGAGCACAGAAAAAGTGTGTGAGAGCAGGGAAAAGCCTCGATTTCCTCTCAAATTGATGCCATTTTTCTCTAAAATAATGATCTTGAGAAATAAAATGAAATTGACACATATGTGTTCCGATTTTTTTTTCCTCTTTTCAGATATGATAATCTTTTATTAAACTTAAGGCAATTAAGTAATTCCATTGGGCAAACAACAACAAAGTTCAAGGGAGGTCAGCCAGGTTCAACTCGAAAGAGCGCAAAGATTTTCAGAGGGATATTCAATCACCTTGGCCAGGTATAATGATATGGAACCCTGCCAGAGGGCTGCCTACCTCAAAATTCCCATTTCAGGTAAATTCAAGGTCAATTTCAGGTATTTTGACCTAAAATCAGGAAGTACAAAGACAAAGAAGGGGAAAAAAAGAAGACTGTTGCCCCTGAACATGTAGTTACAATTGAGCGGGGCTTGTTTTTCGTGATATTGGGTAATTATATTTAGAAAAAGTGTGTACATGCACATGTAATGTGTGTGTGTGTGTGTGTGCTTGTGTGTGTGTGTGTGTGTGTGTGTGTGTGTGTGTGTGTGTGTGTGTGTGTGTGTGTGTGTGTGTGTGTGTGTGTGTGTGTGTGTGTGAGAGAGAGAGAGAGAGAGAGAGAGTGGTGTGTGGATGTGTGTGGATGTGTGTGTGTGTGTGCGTGTGTGTGTGTGTGTGTGTGTGTGTGTGTGTGTGTGTGTGTGTGTGTGTGTGTGTGTGTGTGTGTGTGTGTGTGTGTGTGTGTGTGTGTGTGTGTGTGTGTGTAGCAATGCCAATGAAAATTTAAATTTTCACTTTTGCCCCCTTTTTTTTGGTACCTAAGAAAGAATTTTCAATTCTGATAATTATGCTTCTTGAATTTTGAGAAACGGTTCATAAATAAAAAAGTTATGGGGTTGTAAAGGTCAGCAAAATATGGATGACCCATATATAGGAAAATACTCCTAAAAAGTGGACCACGCAGTAGCAGATTCTGTAAGAAAATCGACGATATCTCGGTAACTAATCCAAATGTTCGAGAGAAACTTGGCTACCCGATGTGTTTTTGAGTGTAGAAATCATTTCTGCAGTCAGATTTACTACCAATTTCGTAGTTATTTTGTTATAATTAAAATTGTGGTGTACATATTACGATTTTGTGAAAAAGGGGTGTCGGGATGAGTCCATTTTATTTATAGCATCGTATCACAACATGGGATCTTTAAGAATATATGTGGGCAGCGTGACTAAATAATTGCAAAGCTTTTTATGATGACTTTAGACCATGCCAACCGTAAAAGATAAGTTAATTCAATCTAGCATGCCGTACAATTAAAAATTATTTTTCCCCGTTGAGACGCGAACACCCCGAGACGAGATAACCTCGCCTCGGAATACCCCCATTGCGATGTTACAGGGGAATAGAGAGAAAAACAACCGGATGCGCGCGCCCGCCATTGCCCTATTTCAAGTGACCAATGAACGGGCCCGGAATAGTCATGCGGGGATTGTAGGTCACAGACATTTGCCACGGGAGTGAGGGGAAAATGGCCGGTCTCCGTGCGAAGCCGCTTTGGATAGGGGGGTAGTCGTAGATTTACGATCGGGTCTAAACAACTACTTGACACAGAACTCTCAAATTTGAGCACACTATAGAGGATAGATAGATCTATTACCATCTGGGCGTTGAAATTCAAACTCCTTATAGTTTTCGGTGTACACGATACGAAAGTGTTCCCGACACCAAAAGTATAGGTTTAATTTATGTGTACGAACTTCAACGTCCACATATCATTAGTTTGCCCTATTTTCTGATTGGTAGCCGAGTTTCATTCGGATTGGTTCGGAAATAGAGCAGACCGAGGTTGACAAAGTTAGTCACCTACGCTTCGGCCGGGTCCGCAAAATCGCCCGTAAACGGGGACCAAATTTTCGCCTCGCGGGAAAGCCCAATTGGCATTGCTAGTGTGTGTGTGTGTAAAGCCTTCAAACACCACTTCCACTTATTTTATCAAATTTTAGCATCAGTTTTTTGCACCACGGCCTTATCCTGCAGCCGTAGAATCCTCATGTCATATCCGTACTGACAGACCTGCCACTCCATGAAATCTAAAAATCACGATCCCAGGGGGGAAAAAAATCGGTATTTGGTTTGAAAATATCGGGATCAACGACAAATCACCAAGGTGACTGCAAAGCTTTGCCCATGAGGAATACTTCCATATTCCCACATTTGACAGAACTGTTCTGTCAGTGCCTCAACTAGATAATAGTCTCCACCAAAAGCATAGACCTCTGCAGGAATAGAGTCTGCACCAAAGTATCTACTTGGATGTAATTAACATATCTAGCAATAGGGCACACCCCAGTGGTCACTCATCAAAGGATGTCATTCCTGACATTGCTTGACAATCCTCATGAACACACAACCAGCAGTGCTTCCGATTTGTTAGCATAGTGGACTGTGGTGCTGTGATCTGGTTCAAATCTTGGGTTGGTAGAGAAGTTGTTACCAATCTTCAGCACCCTCTGAACTCAGTCTTATCAAAGCCATGCATTAAACTTGGAGGCCTGTGCTCTTAAATTGCCTTCCAATGTTGAAAATGACATTACATACAAACCATTATATTGGACTGTACTTTTCTGCGACATCCAACCTACCTCTCTCTCAGCCAGCGTCTTCTTCTGGGATAACAACTGCACCTCATCCCATTGCTGGGCACATCTCATCTCCTCCATCTTCCTCTCCGTGGATGCAAGTTCCGACTGGACACAATGCTTATACACTGAGGGCATGGAAGTAAGGAGAATTTACTGTATAAGAGGACTAGCTGGGCCCCCTTTCCATGAAAGGAATGATCGGTGCTTTAATATCAACTAAAAGTCATTGGCCTACCATATTTACACTCTACTGGAATGGGGCAATAAATCTTGAGAGACGCAAAAAATTATAAGGTCTAGATCTATACTCTCAAAACAAAATGCGCCTCACGAAATATCACTTCTGGATTTTCTAAAATTACAGAGACAGAAGCGTTGGCCTACAAAAGCGATCGGCGAAATAAAGAAATTTTGTTTTTTGCAGCAAAACTGTCTCAAAAGTGAAAAAAACAAGGGCGTCATGCTCTGGAGAATATTTTTAAGAATCTTTTGGCAAAAACCGCATGTCGATCGATGCAGCCATTAAAAAGCCTTTTGAATAGCAAAATTCGGCCACCACAAATAGATAATAGAAGACCGGAGACACAAAAGTGAGGAGCAGCCTTAGAAAAATCATACTGGTTTGTTCAAGTTAAAACAAGCACAAGTTGGTTTAATAAAATAAAGACAAAGGAGCTACCATAGCACCCTCCAACCATTTTTGTGAAAATGAGCAAGCGGCTGCCACACAGACAAGGGGCATCCTAACCTGAAAAACAAAAATCGCCCAGAATACACAAAAACTAGTACCACAGTGGGTTAGAGATAAAGAACCTAAAGAAGTTTGTTAACCCTGAGACATAGGCCAAGAAGGTAGACAATATAGAGGAATTAATCATCTCAGGCAGAGGTAAAAAGAGAACAGGAGAGGATCTACCAGTTGCACTCCCTACCGTCCAGCTAATGCAGGGTAAAATTTGAATAAAATTCAGTCACCGCAGAACATTTTTCCCCAAAAATAGGCCTCAGTCAAATTAGACTACTATTGCAAAGAAACAAAGGAATTGAACCCTTTGCAATGTAACAGTAAAGTATCCTGTGCTAAGGAGAGCTTACAAATCAGAAACACGTGAAATCTGAAAAGTGCCAAGAAAGAGCTGCATCAATATCAAGTTACAGCAAAACCACATTGTAAGGATTTTACCATTTTTATGTCCCAAAAAAAATTTACAGGGTCTGAATTAATAATCTGCCAGACTGAAACAAATGTGTCAAACAATTTACCATCCCATGTTTGTCTGCCTCCGTTCCGCAGTTTCCTCTTAATCTTGCTCATTTGATCTCTCAATTGCTCTGCCTCGACACTTGAACTCTGCAAAAAGCGAAAAAATAAAATTTTAAACATTATAAAAACCTCACAATAAATTATAGACAGAAAGTGCAATAACTAAAAAATCCCTTCCATCACCAAGGAAGCTTAGCACAAACCCTTAAAATGTTTTAACTTTTGTAAGTGTGTAAAGACCCTACTATGCCCTTAATAACGGCACACTTGAAAGAGGTCAACCCACAAAAGAAAAGTGTACATGAACATTCTCTTTTTTTTTTTTTTAATAGTAGAGGGTTTTACGGCACTGGCAACTGCATAAGGTCATATGAGCACCAAGGGGTGGGTGTCAACAGAGAAGTCTTTACAGGGAATCAGACTTAGACTGCTCCCCTCTCTAGCTTCAACAGCACAAGGTCTGCTTCAACTATCAAGGCACCCCAAAATAGCAGGTCACAAGGGAGTGACAAATATACAAAAGAAGTAGAGGAAAATGACAATAGTAAGGATCAGGAAAGAAAAAGCAGCAGTTCCCTGTTGTAGATCAAGCACAGTTATGAGCGTGACATGAGTCAGCCCATTTACAATTCTACTATGCTTGAACGAGATGTTCCCCCCCTTTGGGAATGGCCTAAAGACACTTCAGTCAGTGGCACTGCCCCGGGTGGGTCCATGAACATCCATACTCATCAAATAAAGATGTATGGTGCATGTACTTCTAGCTTTTTCTTTAACATTTCCACCAAGTCAAGTGTTCTGCCTTCAAAATGGCCTACTCACATCTAGTAATGTTGACAGTGAATGGATGGTTGGGGATACACAATGATGGATGGAAGAATGGATAAACAATAACAACAAAAACCATTCAGTAACAAGAGTGTCATTCTAAAAGAAACAAAACAAAAAGTAACTTGTGTCTGGCTCAAAACCAGAAGCTTAAAACGAAGTATTTGAAACTAATTTTGTTTTTTTGCCCTTTTTTTCTAATTCTGCTTTCTTTTTTCTCTAGGCCCAGAGTTGAGATGTTTGGAAGTAAAGAAAACCCATACAGCAAACTGGAATGACTTTATCACATCTGTAAATCATATCCCGATCACTCACAAGACACAAAATCCATCCTACATCGCCATCCCTCTTCATACATCAACCACATTTGAGTCTAGGGATTTTTCATTGTTTTTTTTTTTTGTAAGTGTTTTACGATGCTCGCATCGGCATAAGTTCAAATGAGCATGCAGGATACATTAAGCATTTTCAGTTTTGGTGTGAATTAATTTTGAATTTTGCCCGCGTGGCAGCCAAAGCTTACTCTTATTGATTTTAGGACTACCAAGGGATCTTTAACTCTTTATATCTCCGGCAAGCGGCTCGCAATCGGAACCCCTGTGCCGGTGAGCCGCTGACAGCGGTTCGGGCACATTCCTTTAAGACCACTTCGACATCAAATTATTTTTCAGCAAAATACCAGAAGTTCATTCATTAGATGAAGAACTTTCAAAATAAGTTTGCTAGTTCCGATTTAAAGACCCATTTAATGACGTTTTAGACTTAGCACCAAAAAAGGACCCCGGCGTAGTGGGTTTACCCCCCCTCGGCGATAAAGAGTTAAGGTGTGCCGCTTGCGCATGAGACCTCTGAGATTTTTTCGTCCTTATCCGAGAAGGCTAGGTGTTAGATTTTACCAACCCTAAAATCAGGGGTGTGACTAAAAGAAAGCATGAAATAAGAAGCCAAGGAGCAGCAGCAGAAAGGCAGCAGAAAGAGTCCAGAGCTCAGAGGAAGGAACAAGGGGGGAAGGGGAATGAAGGAGGCAGAATGTGAGGACAAAAGCAGATGACAGCATATAATTAGAGAGCAAGTAAGGTGAAAAGAGAAAATATTTTAGAGAAGAAAATTTTCAGTCACTGTCAAGTCTGGATCCCGAGACCTATTGAATGAGAGGCTAACACCAAACCTCTAAACCACAAGAGACCCCAGGTTCGAGTATAGATTTCATTATTAAGAGACAAGCTAAAAAAACCCACCAAAAAAAACCTCACTTGACTTGTTCTTTAAACTACGACAATGTATCATTTTTCTAAAGAGCAATGCTTTTTTTCTTTCCATTCAAAACTATACTTTACTTGCCTTTGTCTCTGCCAAGAGAAAATCATACTTGAGGTTTTCCAGACATCTGAGAGTCACCCTGTAACAAACAAAAACATTTTGCAAAGTCCCCATTGGATAATTTGTTATTTGTTGAATTACTGTATGGGTTACTACATGCTAGTCTCTAAATACCAATAGAACCAAAAGTACCGGAATTTCAGTTATAACGAAAGCAGGTGGATCAGTATCCCAAATGCACTTAGCTATGCAACTCAGATGGCAGCCTATTACGAACTCAGACAAGGGATTTTATGAAACCCAGCGCTGAGAAGATTCCCATCACCTCTGCAGCTCTTCAACTTCTCAACTTGAGTTCAAGAGAAATAAACTGACTCAGCAGAAGTCATGCCATAAGTATACACATTTACCACGAAAAAATGTTTTTTCAGCACATGAAATAATACACATGTAGTGAACATAAAACATTGCCACAAAGTTGCTCAAGAAGAGTTTCCAAAACTTCTAAACCTTTATTTTATCGGTTTCGATTCCAATCACAAATCATGATGGAAATAGAACACATTGTGTCTGTACACGATCCCTATTTGGATGGGGATGAGATTTTTGCGGAAGCAAAGATTGTTACTGAACCTTCCACAAGCCGACGCAGTGAACAAAAATATGAAATTTCCCTCCTTTGTTCAGCAAGACAATGATTTTTATGAAAGATGTCCTTAAAAGAAATATGGAGGCGACTGAATAATTGCTGAGGTCAATGGGTGCAAAAATAAAAGGAAAAGGAAAAAGTCTGTTTCTATTTCTTGTGAGTCCCCCATTCCAAAGCGCAAAAAGAAGCGCTAACACAAAAGCAGCGAGAAATGGACAAGAAATGTGACTGAGACCACCTAAGCATTTCATTCAAACCTTGAGGAGACTGGAAATCTGTTATCAGATGGCAAGATAATAGAGGACCTGTTCTGCCCTCCTGACAATGATTATCAAGGGAGTCAGGCTTTGAAATCCCATATTACTACAGAGGGCCTGACCAGCAGTTGAGTTAAAATTATAGAAATAATCGAGACTTACCTATAAGTTGATGATTGTTTCTGATTTTGAGAATCTGTAGTCAAGAATGGAGTGGTAATATGCCCTCCCTTAATCGCTCCCAATATGTATGACATACAAAGCTTAGTTCATTTATATTGCTATATAACAATATCATATTATATTGTGCATGCCACAGTTGTACTATAACACTATTTGCATGCTCATATCTACTGTGACTGGCTGAAGAGTGACTGGATCGGTTAGCGCACATCCCATATATTGCCACTCCATTCCCGATGACATATCGTCAAAATCAGAAACATACAATCATCAACTTACAGGTAAGTCTTGATTGTTTCAACAACTAATTATTAAAGTTTAATGTGTTGAATTCAACTTGTAAGCTTAACCAGCGTCTCAGAAAAATGATTAAGTGTTTCGACGTACTAGGGATATGGATGAGCCACAGTAGCAGAAAATCTTTCTCATTATTTCTCGTAAGAAATTGAAAAAAGCATGTGGCAAGCAGTTGAGAGGTAGCTGGTGGTTAGTCAGTATGACCAGTCAACTTCTATTTGGAACAGATTGGGACAACAAAAACACTGAAAATAATTGAAGAAGACACAGGGCCCACCAAACACAGACACAAGATGTTTTGTTTTAGTAAGAGTTTTACGGCACTTGCAACACACTAAGGTCATATAAGTGCCGAAGATTAGAGGTGTTACAAGAGAGAAACAAACACAAAAAAGAAGGAGTAGAGATAAGGATGATAGATGTTTGATAGGAAAGAAGGAGCAAACCACACCAGAGCACCTGTCAACCACCCACACACAAGATGTGTAATTTTTAGACTTTACAAATATACATACCAAAAAATAAAAAAGAATGTATATATAAACAATTCTGGCGACGCCAACCTTTGTGTCACTTTTAAGAAGAAACCACAGACTCTTCAGAGCTCAGAATCTATACAAAGGCAGCAGCCAATATTTGTAAGAGCATGACAAAGCTGGATTTTCATGATTTTGAGCATTAAAAAATCTATAGAATTGAAAGTTTCCATTGCTGTATATCAGTATAGAATTAAGAATACTCCAAATCAGAACCCCAGCTTTCCAAATTCACTTTTTTAAAATATGAGCGTCCACTTTTCTGTTTTGATTCAAAGCTGCACAAACAGGGCAAGTTTGTGTCGGTGACATAGCATTCACAAAGGCAGTCTCTGGGGTATGTCCTTGGGGAACATACGTTAACTCTTATTTCTAAAACGGTGCTGTAGAGTGGCGACCAGAAATGATGGGTGGACTGTCAATATATGTGATACTGAGAATTATTCATGCATCTTTGAAAGAACGTATTTGTGTGTTTGTGTATGCCTTTGTAAAACAAATTTCCAAAGGGGATCAAATTTATTATTGTAATAGAATGGGTTTTTTAAATTATCATCTTTTTTTTTTTTCTAGTAGAGATTTTACGGCGCTCGTAACTGCATAAGGTCATATGAGCACCAGAAGATTAGAGGTGTTACAAGAGAGTAACAAACATAAAAAAGAAGGAGGGGGGGGGATAAGGACGATAGATGTTTGATAGGAAAGAAGGAGCAAACCACACCAGAGCACCCGCCAACTACCCACTTATCATCTTTATTTAGTAAATATATATATTCCACAGAATTGAAAACAAAACTGTCGTCAATTAGTCAATAACTGTCATTGCAATTAGTGCTGGAAAAAAGCAAGACCAGCAGACAGAAACAATAACGGAAAAGTAAAGAAAGAGAAGCCAACAGTGCCAACTCCAGTCTCCTGCAGGACAACAACTAAGAATGCCTAAAAAGGAGATAGATAAAAAAAAATAAAAAAAATACAAAGATTGACATGAAGAAAACATGCTAAAAGCAGAAAAAATAAAAAAATACAAAGATTGACATGAAGAAAACATGCTAAAAGCAGAAAAAAAAAAAATACAAAGATTGACATGAAGAAAACATGCTAAAAGCAGAAAAAAAATAAAAAATACAAAGATTGACATGAAGAAAACATGCTAAAAGCAGAAAGGCAACAAAGACTGTTGGTCTGACAGACACAAGACAATTGGTCAGGTGTAGTGACTGACAGTAGACACTTAACCAAAATCAGCACTTACTCTGTATTTCCAGCATTTGGATCCATCATCTTAATGTCCCTCAAGTCAAAACCTTGTCCATTTTGCGTCATTGAAGGACATTGTTTGATGGGAGATCGTCTCACCACAGGACTCCCACTGCCTGGACTACTGTGAATGGGTGGTGCGTGACCACTGGAGAACGGGAGCGACAGATCAGGGCCACGTGGCTGGGTCACATTCTCAAAGGTGGGAATGTTCTGCGGCTCTGAGGAGAATTCTTTTGATACCAATAACACAGGAGGCAGGGAGCTGATGGTTGCAGGATTTGACCCAAAATTCACTTGGTCAGAAACACAAACGTTATTTTTTAACATCAATCCCTGGTGCTCCATTTCATTATTTTGATTACTTAGAGAAAAATTGGAAGGAGGGACAGATTTCTGGACTGATCTCAATTTTTCTCTATCACAAGATGTTGGTGAACCAGGTATAGCCGGCAAGGAATGTGTATCGGATGACGAAGAAGCATCATTTACTGAGAGTGAATCTAAGCCACCGCTGGAAACAGGTGGTATCGCCTGAGCCGATATGTTCGGCATCGACATGGACTCCATTAAATCCTGGAATTCTAAATCATCATTAGCAGAGATAGAGTCACCAGTTGATTTCTCATTCTTAAATGGGTCTGATTTCAACACAGTCTCAGAACTCATTGAACCAACAAGCAGCTCTTGAGGTGTCACAGGAGATGTGTCTTTCAGCTCTGTTGGATTTGACAGTGATTCTGCTGAAGTGGCTGACACCCCAGAATCTGAATGAATTTCTGTTGTGTTGTCCTGTATCTGCACAGTGTTCTTTACATTAAGGTTGGCTTCTAAACTATTCGCTCCTCCTGTCACGTCTGGTAGATTTGAAGAGCTGTCAAGTACTGGTCTGGCAACCTCGCCCTCATTCACTTGCGTAGCAGAAAGGGAAGTAGGTGCAGTAGATGTGACTTGACCATCAATGGAAGAAAGAGACGAGTGTGGGTGGGCATCACTTATAACTAAATGGCTTGCACTTTTTTCCTTCAAGCTTTGAGTGCCTGCTTCCTCTGGCAACAAAAGCCCCTCCACTGCACACTCTTCTACATCAATTTTCCGGTCTCCAGAACTACTGTGAAATCCTCCCACATCATTCGAAACAGTTTCTGCATTATCAATCGATGGCTCTACAGACTGTGTTGGTGAGCTTGGTATTTCTTTAGAAACATTATTAACTTCCTCACTGATTGTCTCTCTTACACCGGGTGGGAAAATCTGAGCAGAAGGCACTAAAGCAGAGCTTTCAATTAAGCTCTCTTGATTATATGTAACTTGAGGCACATTTTGACATGAAAGAAAACCAACACTGTCCAAAGTTTTCCTGTTGTAGATTTCAGAAGTTCTTGGAGGGCTTGGGGCCTCCTCCTCCACTGCAGAAGTCGTCTCTGCTATACCGGACATTTGCGTTCTTCCAGACGTGACGTCACCTTCCCCCCAACCATCTCCACCTTTTGTATTTTTCTCATCAAACTCCTGTACATTTTCATTAAAAGATGACTCTGTCACAGGGGATGAAGAAATTTCATTAGCTGCTGAGAATGACAAAGCATTATCTGGATTCTGAGAAGGCTCTTCCAACTGTGGCTTAATATCTCTTAATGCCCCATCAACTTTGAACTCTGCCCCAGGGGATGTCTCAGAGCTCTCCTCCTGTGGCAGCACATCATCATTTCTACGTGGCTCCACTCCACCTTCACCACACGGCAATGAGCCAATCTCATCCAAACTCAGGCTTCTGCTACTGCTATTTTTAGAATTACCTGAAATATCCGAATTTTCATTGGCCTCTACAGGTGGATTCTCTGCCTTCAGAGAAACAGACTCAGGCTGACTGACAGCACCACTTTCTGAGTTCTTATTCGTGACACTTGCAACGTTCATTGTATTTCCTTCATCGAGGTATGAGGATAACTGCTTGGCCAGTCTGTCTTCTGCCGTCTCCAAGGGAGGTTTAAGGAGGACAGGAGACAGATCCGCTGCAGCACCATTCACACTGGAACCAGCCTGAAAAGCAAGTACAGTCGAACCTGTCTTAATGAAAACCTGTCCAAGACAGAAATCTGTCATAACAGAATCTCCCCATTTCCCCCATTGATAAATTCTTCTTTAATTACTTCTTAAAATCAGAATCCTGCTCAAAATAAAAACAGAAAGAAAAATTCCCTGAAGGGTTTCAACCTATCTGAGATGAAAAACTCTTTGCTCTCAGAGTCCTAATTTAAAGTATTACTCCCAACTTCGATTTTATCGGCTTAAGCCTTTATGCCTTGCCTCCCGGAGAGGAAAGAGGGAAGGGATGCTGTGTGGGGATAGACCTTGCCCTAATCCAAGTGAGCAATGTAGTTGGTCAACATGAGGTGGGTGTGAAATCTCACCATCGCCTGTGAAATAGCTCAAGTAACACTCCAGCAAAGAAATTCCATCAGTAGCCAGAATATGAAATTAATTTGACCATTGCCTGCCACCCTAATCTTCAGCCAACCAAGACAAAAATTTCTTTGAATCATTGTTACATGCAGGGGAGTGGTGGCATTGGTTGATTGTACTTATTACATCGATGGGTGGGGTTAAGGGTGGAAATAAAGGAAATCTTCAATCATATCTGTTTTTCTAACAGTGATGCAAGAACTCATGGCAGTGGATAAGTAAGACCGACACATGCCACTATCAGAGAGGCAAGGATAGCACTTGAGAGGTGTGAACTTTTCACTACTGCTTGAAGCCAAGTCAGTCTCATTGATTAAGTGAAAGGAAAGAAACCTGAATCAATAAAAAACCATAAAGTGACCACCCCATATCCCCAACATTTAGATGTTCTGTACAGGTATGTATTATGTAGAGTGTAGACAGCAACATTCATTAACTCCTTCATCTTCCCCCACCCAATCCTCCATATTCATTATCACTGAAGCAGGACATAGACAAATTCGCATTTCTTTCTCAGATCAAATGATATTTTTCAGCCAGCTTCCAATTTGAGAGCTTACTCAATTTTCCCAAGGATTCCTCAAGTGCTAAACTGCGTGGAAACAATCTATAGCAAGGGTGAGATCTACACAAAGGTCAACAGACATCCCCACAAAACCCAGGAGGAGCATTGAAAGCATTAAGAGCATAATTTCTCACCGGGCCATCTCTAGCTGAGGGTAGCGGAGGCTGAGACTCATTCACTGGGGTGAACACAGGAGGAGGTGGTGGCACCTGAGCAAAAAAAATTGTAAGAATATTTCTTAATTTATGTTAAAGTTTATGTTCAAGTATAAGGCATCGCTAGACAACTAGATTCAGTGGAACTCTGATTCAACTAAGTCGTCAGGCCTGACCTTCAATTTAATTAAATCCGAGCGTACCTTACAGCAAACATGAGGTTCTTGTGTAGATAATTACAAGCAATCAAAAGTAGTTTGGTTTCAAATGAGAGGCATTTTCGTTTGTATGATCCCATACCGAAGAAATGCTGGAAAATTCCTAGAAATTACACTGAACTCTACCAAGCATACACTATGCAAAAGGGTCATTTCATTCAAATGCAAGCCTGTATCATCTGTCATCTATAACATATTGTTTATTGAAAACGTTATGCTGCTGTGTAGAGCCTAGCATACAGCAACATTTGATTCCACAGTCCCGCACACAGTTCATTAATTAGATCTATGTCAGGACGTGCTTATCATTGTAATATAATTCATTAGTAGCCAAAGGAAACAAATCTCTACTGACATTCCACTTCCGGAACGCTTGTGCCTCCTCCGCCCCAAACACATGCACACACAGTCACATGGAAAGAAGGCCGCTGATTGGTTGCATAAGATATAAACAATAGGCTAAGTGATAATGGTTCACGATGCAGGGGCCATGGATGGTTTCCAGGAAATGATCATGTTCGTTGCGGGAGAAAAACTAGCGAAGCCACATCAGCAGGGGCTGTTCAACCTGCAAGCAACTTCGTTGAATCCAAGCTTGCTCATTTATGTGTTCATTAAATCTGAGTTATTTTTTATTGATTTTTATTCATCTAAAAAATGGGGAATCCATCCAACTCCTTTTGTTGCATCCAAGATTTCATTGTATCAGAGTTCGTTAAATCCGAGTTCCACTGTGCACATTAAGTAATACTTATTTTAACTCATAAAATTATGCTTCATGCAGTTGCCATACATCACAAGGTCCGAATACTCACAAGTGTCATATCAACATCAATTTCTCTTCCTAGCTGCTCCTTTAAAGACTGCAGACCCTGAAAATTGCAAATTAAACATTTTTAATCATCTTAAGACCATTTAGTGCATTTCAATTTTTTGGGGGGGTTGTTCCCAACATCAACTTTGAGAACATATTTTTATCATGAAAGTACAATTAAAAACAAATAAATAATACCAAGAAGTAAGTTATGATGTCATTGCCTACTGAAAACTTTTCAAACACATTTCATGCCCACACATGGGGATTCTCATGCTTACTAGTCATCCTCAGCTGCCTGCACATGAGGATTTCCCATTTGACGTGATACCTCTAAAAAGTAACTGTTACTTTTTATCACAAAAGCTTCACAGAAATAGGAGTGTGTGTGGGAGGGGGGGGGAGGGTGCTCTAGGAAAATCTGATTCTTTTGTAAAACTGTTTCAGTATTCATTTGAACGTAAGACAGTTTGAACAGTATGAATGATGGCAAAGTGATCCTACAAAGCTGAGGTGTTGAATGATGAATTTATTATGGATCAGGATAGTGAAGAGACTATTGAAAGTGGTGTTGATTTTGATACCATTTATGTGATGGAAATAAATTGTGTTGTAGATGATAATAATAGGAATGGAAGACCATGTTTCCTCAGGGAAGCACCCCTACAAAGACATTCTATACAGGAGATAAATCTACACCTGTGAGAGGGCCGGGTGTGGTACAAAAAATGCATGGTCATGCACAAGGTCTCTGTAGACAAACAATGGAAAGGATTCAGAGAGAAGAAACTTATACCTGTAGACAGACTGAGAGGAATATCACAGATAATCATTAGGTAGGTGTCACTTTTCATTGGTATACCTCTGCATACATCCTTAAGCTTGAAAGTTCAAAAATTTACTTGGTGTGGGGAAAATCTCCTGGTGAATTCACTTGGGAAGAAAAGGATTATATAGAGAACTTTATTGTAAAATGAGGTATCAACAGAGTGCAAACAAAGATGCAACTTTGCAGCCATGTGACTCAATATTCAGACTCTCTTCGATCATCTAGTATTAGCATCCCCAAACAAACACATGTTCATAAAAGTACAACATAATTTTGTCTCTCCCTCCATCTTTCCTCCATGAAAAATACATCACATATTCATCAAATACACAGACAAATCTTCACAAACCAATACTCACTTTCAATACTTTGAAATGCTTTATGGCATGCTCAACTTGATTATCCCTCTTTGCATTCAAAGCTGCTGTTTTGTATTCACCTATTCTTGCATCAATCAATGCCAAATCTTCAACTCGTTTTTTCGATTTCTCCTCCTGCAACTGTTCAGCCAAAGCATCTTCAGTTTCTGGGTAGACAACATACAATGATAAAGTATCTACAAACACAGTGACTTCAAATGCAAGACCCATAAGACAGATTATGTTTATTATAACCAAAAAAAACACCCAATAGTCTAGATGGTTCGAAAAGTATTTCAAAATGAGGCTTGCATTGATGGTATATTTGAACGAAAACAGCAGCGACTTTATACAAGAATGGATCACATTTTAAAACCACTTCATGCAGTATCTTATATTAACACCTCGTCACTCAGTAGCATTCAGGGGGCTCTCGTGGTCTAGAGGTTGAGGTGTTTGCCTCACATTTAAATGTCTCGGGTTCGAATCCGGATAGCGACAAAAAATTCTCTTCTCTCAAATTTTTCCTTTCACATCCTTTCCTGCTCTTTAGCAATGTTCTGTCATCTGCTTTCATCTCCACTTTCTGCCCTCACTCCTTCACCTCCTTTACCCCCTCCTCCGGGCTCCTGACTCTTTCTGCAGCCTTTCTAGTGCTACTCCTTGGCTCCTTCTTACTACTGTCTTTCAGCCACACCCCTGATCTTATGGTAGGTAAGATCTACACACCTTGCCTTCTCGGATAACGGCGAAATATCTCGGAGGTACTGTGTGAAAGTTGCGCTCGCTAAAGATCCCTTGGTGGTCCTAAATCGATAAGAGTCCCGCCACCGCGGCAAAATTCAAAATTTCCTACCAACTGAAAATGTAAATTGTGTTCCACGCCCCCATATGACCTTATGCAAGTTGCAAGCGCTGTAAAACGCTTACGGAAAACAGAAAGTAGCTCTTGTTAAGTGTGTCGTTAAAAGAAAAATTGTTTAACTCACCAAAAATCTAATTCATAATTTTTTTAAAGATATTCAATGCACATAAATTATCACATTCTTAGTTTGTTTCGAAGAAATTCGTTAGAACTCACTCATACTTTTCCTATCTTAGTGACAGGCATGCCTGTCTTGTGAATACAGGAAACAAACACTTTATTGTCCTCACAGGCCAGCCACACATAAAGGTGTCAAATAGATATATATCAAAGATCTAAATGGCAATGAACATTTCTGAAAACTGCAATACTTACACAGTCTGAGAATTTACTAAACCGTCAATACTTAAACGCAGGACAATCTTGACTTTTCAAGATAAAACATCACTACCAGTACCTGAAAATTTCTCCACACCATCCACATCCATTTTCAATTTCATGAGACTCGAGTGAATCTTCTTTAACTCTCCGTGAGATGGATTACTAGTGAGAGCTTTGTCCATGTCCCTCAGACTCTGGAAAAAAAGGATAAAAGTCAACATTAAAGAAAACCATCATTTCCCCATTGTTATTTAGAAATTTCAAGTAACATTTCATTTCTAAAGTACACAAACTGAGATCAAGAGGCAAAGGATAATGCAATATATACCAATCTCACAATCAAATCCATAAACCAAGGAAATGAAATCTACCCAAGGCCTATCAAAACAGTGCAAAATGAGGAAAATGTGGAAATCAAAGAAGTCTGTTCAGACACTCAACGGTGAAATAGGCTTCATCGAGTCCCAGACTTACAGATCTTAAAGCATGACCTGAAAAAGAAGCTATATCACATTTCTCTGCACCGAGGAATAACCCTGGGCAACGATTTGGAGAGAAAAACGTGTGCGTAGTTTTTCCAGATACGTGAGACAGAATGAGAATTTACTACCGTCTCTTTGGTTTAGCAATTTGGCTCATTCCTACATGACTGGAAAAATTAATTATAGGAATTATGTGCATTGAGTAACAGAAAGACCACATGATAAGAATGAGAGAGACAAGCACGTTGAAAAAAAACAGCGTGGGTAGCTTTAAGCACTCAATGAGTGATATGGTCATTTTCGTTTTGCAATAAAGAAGGAGACACACAAATAGTCACTGCAGATTGTTATTTGAATGTTATGAAATCAGTTCGCACAATCCTTGAGATGGTCCTGTGGTTACAAGGAAAGAGATCAGCAATGGATAATGCAGGATGGGGCAGCCCTTTATTGCAAAACATGACTTAAACCTGACTGAAGAGACATATATAAAGGATTGTGCAATCAGTCACATAACAGAGCATCTTTCGTTTGAGCACACTCAGTCCCCGCTTTTATCTAAACCAGACGCTCAGAAGGCCACCAGTCAGCTTTCGTGCCAAGTTTATGCAACCTACTTTATCCATATGGCGGTAGAACAGGTCCAAAATTGGTAAATACCAGAAAAATCAGTAGAAGTAGGCAGCCCTGTCTACCATACAAACAGTTACAATTTATTGTAAGAAGAACCAGCGCAGTCCCACAGAAAAATGAATATAGATGTTTCCACCCAAAATAAAAGTGAGACTTTAAAAAATATCAAAGTGTTTCAATGATCAACACAAAAGTTACACTTGCCTGTAGTAAACTTTGAAAAGACTGATGTTTCTCCTTATTCTTTATGTGAACTTTTGAGCATCTTGCCAGGAGAGATCGGACTTGCAGGACAATTTTAGCCTTGTTGATACTCTTGTCATAATCTTGAGCTGATGAACAACAAAAGAAGGTACAACTGAACAGTACACAACACCGTAAAGACATATTCCCTTCATCCATTTTGATAATACATTGTAAATGTAAGTGCTTTGCAGGATAAAACATAAAAGAAAAATGTAGTAAAAAGTCATTCTAGTTACAAAGAATAGACAGCACCTGGATCCGAGCCCATAATGTTCAAACAGAAATATAAAGTATCACATTCTTCCATGCTTTTGATATTCACATTCCAGTTAGCTTAACACTTTGCCCCCACAGAACGTCAATTGGCGACTGTAAGAGGCCATCTCTTTCCCTCACGGGACGCCGGTCTGCGACGGCACGATATAGCAACAAATATGTTGTAGGGATGACCTCCTTTGAGGCATGCACACTTGTTTAAGTTATAATTTCCTTTCTGAATTGTTTGTGTGCCTTTGAGGGTGAAAATTAGTTTGTTTATAACAATTGGAGTACATTTTAATGAAAAATATCAAGTAGACCTGGCATGAGTGCTGCTTTACACTGATGCCATGATGAGAATTCGGGTAACGTATGTGCTAGATGAAAAGTTTTCAGTTCTGATTCCAATTTCCTTTTTTGGTCAACATACGATCATCATGTTTTTTCAGTTCTGATTTTAATTTCCTTTTTTGGAGAACGTACGATCATCACATTCAATTTTCTCAATGTGCTGAAAATTTCAAAATGATTGGGGTATTTTTGCCGAAATACAGGTATAGTACTGATGTAGCCTAACTGTATCCTGGTACATGGGGACAAAGGCTGTGCGCCCTGCACGCTGCGTGGGTGGAAAATACTAAGCCATTATGTGATTTTTTAAACTAAAAATTTGAATTAAATTTTGAAAAATTATCTCATCATGTAAAAGGTGCTACTAAGAAAACCACCTACCTCCCTCTCCTCCATAGTAATCAAATTCTGGAGGAATGTCTCTTTTCCACACAGGTCTTCTTGCTTTAGCTCTTGTCATCAAAAATTCCAAAGTCTGAAAAAGATTTGTCATTCACATTTACTTTATTAACTTTTTCCCAAGATAGAAACATAAAATTATAAAGAGTGACAGACATACAGGAACACTCATGAGTTCCAAATGTACTGTCACTGAACACACTATGAAGGATCAGACCACTAGAATACCTTCATCATTAAGAAGGCTTCCAAAAGACGTAATGTAAGACTAGGGAATGGAATGAGACAAAAAAATCAACTTCTATTAAAATATACAGTGTTTCCAAGACAGATATTTTTAGTTTTAGTAAGGTTTTACAGCGCTCACAACTGCATAAGGTCATATGATCTCCAAGGGGTAGATGTCAACAGAGTAGTCCAAACGTGGAATCACGCTTACTCTGCCCACCTCTCTAGCCTCAACAGCACAAAGTCTGCTTCCACTTTCAAGGCACCCCGGAAATAGCAGTTCACAAGAGAGTGATAAACATACAAAAGAAATAGAGGAAAAAGTAAGGATGAGGAAAGAAAAAGCAGCAGTTCCCATTATGTTGTTCCGGCCCAGTATGAGCATGACATTGATAAATCAGCCAATATACAATTCTACTGTGCATAAGGACATGTTAATATCCACCCTTTGGGAATGGTCTAAAGACAACTTCAGTCAGTAGCACTGCCCACGGGGGAGGGGGGGCAAGGTAGATGTATCCACAACCAATGTGAACCATTTTCAAGATGAAAGAGTAGGATGCAGCAGCAACAGCAATATCTGACAAGACAATAGATAAAGCAACAGAGGGTTGAGCATCAATATTTTCCTGGCATTCACTGCAAGCAGTATTTGTGGCAAACATTGGCCTAATCGGCTAAGCTTTTAAAAACAACAAAAACATTGGGCATAAAATACAGGCCAATACAGTATAAAGACTATTATGTGTTGACAGAGAGCATTGTTGACATACTATGTCTAAGACCTCCAAGATATTAAAAGTGAGTATAAATATATATGTGAGTCAGCGTGGTGAAATTAGGCGCTCGTCGTATTAATGAAAGTGAAGAAACTGGCATTTTTTTGAAGGTTTGGGAATTTTTATCAAAATTTTTTTTTGGGCTCAACACCTTTCATGCCCATTAAAAAACACATTTCTGTGTGGATTTTATTGGAAAACATTGATTAAAAGGACCAAAAATCTAAATTTTCAGTTTCCACTGACTCTCAAGATAAGGAAATAACTAAACTTTGGCCGCCATTTTTTCACTAATTTTACCTCTGAAACCAGGCGACCACCACCTCCTTCAATCGCCATATCTCAACTTGTATCCACAATAAATGGATATTTTTTTTATCAGAAGCACAACAAATGAACAAGCTTTAAGATGATCCCAATAACTCCAAATACCCAAAAATTGATGAGCACCTGATTCCACCGCGTCGTGACACATGTCAAAAACGCACTGCCAGGCATTTTGAAATTATTTTCACGTGGCCACTTTTCAAGTTTGAACAGCTGCGCAGCTGTTTTTCCAGGGATCTTATTTGAGAATTTTTAAATCAGCAACATATCAGAAAGTCATCAACATATATCAGGCTGTCTATGTTGTTTTGGAGGGCCTGTAATTTCAAAGAGGAGAGGAGAAAGGATGCTTCCCCGGGGAACACTTTCCTCCTGCTGGTGAGGATCTAAAAGAAACAAGATCCCACATAAACCTTCAAAGAACAGTTTTGTAGAAAGTTGCCAACAAGGCAGAGAGATAACAATGGAAGCCAATGGAACTAAGGTCTTTTAGAATATTGTACTTCTGAGTTGAGTAAAACGCTTTTTCAAGGCAGGAAAAGATGGCAATCAGGTGACCTCCTTCAATAAAGGTTTTAGGTACAAAAGTCTCCATGCCATATAGATGATCCGCAGTTGACAGAGATTGTTGGATCCCACCAGGAAGATGAACATACCTGATAAAAATTATCCCCTATGCCTGAATCGAACTCAGGTCTCCGGAGAGCAAATGTGAAGCATCTAACCGCTACACCACAGATGCCGGTTGTTTGCTGATATTGGCAGGAGCACAAAACAGCCTATGTTCTAAAAATAAAATAAGCATGTGGACTATTTTAGCTCTACTGGCTGTTTCACCTCATTTCCACAACCAGTACCCAGAATACTACAGTGCAGAAAATCAATTATATCTAACTCTTTTTCAGTTTAAAAATGGCATTTACCCGTAATCCGCTCAGGATCTTGGGCACTTTCCTCCGATCACCTTCTTGTCCATTCTGAGCAGAAGCCAAGACAGCCTTGTACTGAGAGATCCTCCCATTTAAGGTGTTCACAGCATCATTGTCAAATTCTACAGATGAAAAAAAAAAATGTTTAAACAGGGAAAAGGCAGCTCATAGTGAAGTAGGCATCTCCTCTTCACTTATTTCAAATTTGATTAAAATTTTCATCATGATAAATAGGATAATCTAAGAGCTCTTCTATCTACTTCTACCCTAGGTTATAGTCTCCACTTCTGTCAAGATGTATTCTATCTCCTTAAAGTCTGAATTTAGGACCCTCCTACCAGTACTTTTCAGCCTTCCTCTCTTTATCATTCTTAAATGTGAAGGATACCAATATTCTTGATACAACAGCATACAAAAGTTCCAAATACAGAGTCAGAAATATTTAAAAATAAGGGAGAAAATTTTTCTGCCACAAAAGGAATTAAATGAGGTCGAATTCAGCTAATGTATACACTCTTGGCAAGTTTTGGTCAAGTAGAATGCAATATGGCTCTTCAGCAACATCTTTTAGCATTGGAAATGTTTATCAAGACTTTGAATGCACTTTTACCATTTACACTCCAAAGAACAGTAGAGCATATCATTTTGGAAAACAAAGCCACTTTGAAGGGTTTTCGACTTCATCTCCTTGTAGTAGCCTTGAAAGAGGCCGCCAAAAGAGGCAGTAAGCGAAAACTGCAAATACAATCTTTTTTCTGTGAAAATGAGTATGGTATGCAATTTATTTAACAAAAGAGTTCATGTGATGACTAAGGATAAAAATGGGAAATAAAATACAACTTGAAGCTGAGCCCATCCAATCAGTTATTCTGATTCCATGAATTAGGTGCAAAATATGGTAAAACATTATAGGTGCTGAAAAAGTAATAGGAATATGTTAACAGAATAGAAGAGGGAGGCACTTTCAGTGAAACTACCCATCACCAGTACCTACCATCATCACTGGGAATGACAACAGAAGGCGGGATCTCATCTGCTCTGATAGGAAAACCATCCTGAGCCCTCTTCTGTAAACTGTGCATCAACTGAAAAAGTAAACAAGTACACTGATCTCTGCCTAAGATCATGCAGCATAAGAACCTTGTGTGCCTAAACTAAGAGCCCGCTTTCACTATGTGATGGAACTTTTTTTCTCTATAATAGTAATCTATCTTTAATAAAAATAAAAATCTGCCCACGAGCCCACTTTCAGCTTAGGGCAATAAACTTCGCTAAGCATTCAGCTTTACCTTACTTTGTGCATACAAAGTGACTCTTCATGGCCAGTACAAACTCTACAAAGTTATGAAGTTCCCTAAAACACAGTAATGGGAGTGTGGGGGAGATAAGAGGGGGTAAATAAGTAACAAAGTGATGTCATGCCACAACAAATAACGGGTCATATTAAATAAAAGAAATGGAAGCTGGTAGAAAAAGGGGTTGGAGTGAAGGAAGTGGAGATGATGTAGCTTAGTGGGCAATGAAATGTGCACACTACATACACAGTTAGACAGAGCATTCTTTTGCAAACTACATGAGCCTTGCCAAGCAGGTCCATGGTCAAGTGTCAGATGGTTCAATAGCTTGTTCTTCATAAGCAGACAAAGCAACTGACTATTATAAAAAAGCTGGCCCCTCCACTGGTCACTCTTTCCTTCATTTAGGCAATGTTACCATTTGTTCTGTTCCATAGAGTTCCAAGGGGTGCTCTCGTGGCCTGGAGGTTAAGGTGTTCACCTCTCATTCAATAGGTCCTGGGTTCAGTTCGAACCCGGATAGCCACGAAAATTTTTCTTCTCTATCATAGTCTATTGCACACTCTTTCCTGCTCTCTAGCAATGTTCTGTCGTCTGTTTTCATCTCCACTTTCTACTCCCACCCCCCTCACCTCCTTTTCCCCCTCCTATTGGCTCCTGACTCTTTCTGCAGCTTTTCTACTGCTACTCCTTGGCTTCTTCTTACTGCTGTCTTTCAGCCATACCCCTGATCTTCTGGTAGGAAAGATCTATACCTAGCCTTCTCAGACAAGGGCCAAAAATCTCGGAGGTCCCCAGTGCAAGATCCGCAAGTTAAAGATCCCTAGGTGGTCCAAAATCGATTAGAGTAGGCTTCGGCCACCACCCGGGCAAAATTTCCTACCAACTGAAAATATTTGGAGTGTCCCGCACGCTCATATGACCTTACGTAGTTGCGAGCCCTGTAAAACACTTACCCAGCATCTGCGTTTGTCAGGGTCGTGATTTTTTGCATTTTTTGGTCCGCGATAAGCGAAGCAAATGAACAGGCATTAAGGTGACATCAATAACTCTATATGCCCAAAAATTGACAAGCCCCCAATTCCACCGCATCGTGACACATATTCATTTTTTTACAACCCCCCTAAAAAATATAAAAAATAAAAAACAACAATCTCTTTCTTCCCTCCTGAGTCAGTGTCACCAGCAGGATATATTTCATCACAAAATAGACATAGAAGGTAAAGGGAAGCAAACTGCTAAGAACTAAGTTGCATTCCTTGAAATCTGCCTGACAACACAGTCTGCTTCAGAACCTGCTCTATTAGTCTCCTGGCATTCAGAATATTTGGCAGAAACCAAAGTGTTTAGTTTAGTAAAGAGTTTTACGGCACTTGCAACACAATAAGGTCATATAAGTGACGAGAAACCAAAGTGTTTAGTTTAGTAAAGAGTTTTACGGCACTTGCAACACAATTAGGTCATATAAGTGCCGAGAAACCAAAGTGTTTAGTTTAGTAAAGAGTTTTACGGCACTTGCAACACAATAAGGTCATATAAGTGACGAGAAACCAAAGTGTTTAGTTTAGTAAAGAGTTTTACGGCACTTGCAACACAATAAGGTCATATAAGTGCCGAGAAACCAAAGTGTTTAGTTTAGTAAAGAGTTTTACGGCACTTGCAACACAATTAGGTCATATAAGTGCCGAGAAACCAAAGTGTTTAGTTTAGTAAAGAGTTTTACGGCACTTGCAACACAATTAGGTCATATAAGTGCCGAGAAACCAAAGTGTTTAGTTTAGTAAAGAGTTTTACGGCACTTGCAACACAATAAGGTCATATAAGTGACGAGAAACCAAAGTGTTTAGTTTAGTAAAGAGTTTTACGGCACTTGCAACACAATTAGGTCATATAAGTGCCGAGAAACCAAAGTGTTTAGTTTAGTAAAGAGTTTTACGGCACTTGCAACACAATAAGGTCATATAAGTGCCGAGAAACCAAAGTGTGTGTTTGGAAAGAACCAAAGGTATCAATCAAAAAAGAAACTGAAAAAAATTTAACACACATGCCCCAAATGAGACAATCTTCTGTGTCAAGTAAGGTCAGAGAAAAGGAATATGCCACAAGCAAATGAAAAAAATTACTTGTCGTTGGCCATCTTGTGATAGCTACGAACAACAACTAAAGTTAAGATAAAATACATTTCAGATTTTAAAAATTCATCGCAAGTGTTTGGTATGATCACACTCACCAAAGACATCTGATTTTCATTTAACATCTACAGGTACTGAGCTGATATCTCTACAGTAACACAAATAATAATCATACGTGCAATCCTCTCTGAAAGTCTTTTATTTTGTTGATCCTCTGATCTGACAGCTCTTCCTCAGCAAAGTAGAGGGCCTTGTGGTATTCACTCATTCTAGATGACAGCTCACCCAGTGGGTTAGCTAGAATATCTGTAAAAATCATGTTTTATAGTAGCTGAATAACTGGAGAGCCGTGTAAGTAGAATAAAGCAGAAAACACTTCATAAAACTATCGGCAAAAGTGTGCAACTTTTAGTTTTAATAAGTGTTTTACTGCACTTGCAACACAATTAGGTCATATAAGTGCCGAAGATTAGAGGTGTTACAAGGAGAGATCAGGAAAATAGATGTTTCATAGGAAAGAAGGAGCAAAGCACACCAGAGCACCCGCCAACCACCCACAAAGTGTGCAACTTTGTCATTCAAAAGAGACGCAGACTTACACAGTAAAGACCATATGACAAAATACATGATTTGTTGGAATCTTCCTCTGCAACACTTATGAAAGAGATGGCATCAATTGGGTACAAATAGGCACAGGAAAAAAAGACTGTTATGTCATTCGTTAAAGGAAGACTCTATCATGGTGCCAATAATAAATAACTAAGGAGAAAACAAAAAAAGACATAAACGACAAAGAGAGAGAAAGAAAAAAGGCATGAGCGATGAACATACACAAAGAACAGTGCTAAAAAAAATTTTAAGAAAGGATTTGGTTTGCTGGCTAAAAAGTAGAAATATGACAATAACTATTGATGATAAGTCCTTATAAGAAAAAATAAAAATCAGCGCTTGACAAAATGCAATTCCAACATATTCACTTGTAGTTTAACCAGCACCTGGCCCGGCAACCGATATAAAAAAGAATAATCTTTCTCTTTTTTAACCAAGTTTATTCATCCACCACATTTTGTAAGGTTTTTGAAGAAACCCCGGCCTATTGGCAAAGGGTCATGTGTGAGGCACCACAGGAAAATCAGTAAGATGTCGCTGGCTTTGAAGTAGAGATATCCAATAAAGTGAAAAGGTTTATTCTATTCTAAAAAATGAGTCCTGTGCACTATGAAAAACTTGAACATCTATCTTATTTAAATTCTTAAAATAATATGCTTGAAAAACAATTAGAAATTTGTTGTTTTTTTAATGATTTTTAAACATCAATTCGAACTCCAAACCCAGATTTCTCAGAACAGGGTTAGGGGGAATTACTAACTTATTATCATGCTTACATCTCAGCTTCTCATAAACTTATTTCAAATCAGTAAAAGCCCATTTACTCAGGAGATAATGTGTTTTATCTTGTCTGTTAGTAAAATGGCACCCTAACTGAATGTTTCCTACAAATCTGTAAATATTTCTAAAAGTCAAACTGTCTGCTCCAGGTAACAATAACTTGTAAATCATAAAGAGCCTACTTTCCAGTGGGATTCCATACAATATAAATGCAATCAATTATCATATTATCATTATAGTCTAAATTAACTTACAAATCATGACAACATCAAGAACAAGACGAAGATGTCTTAAAACATTAGCCAATATCTCCTAGAGAAGGGAGAAAAAAAACAACCCACTCACCATTCTGAGGTGTTATATCAAGGGGTGGAGGGACTTCTGCTTCACAAACAGCCTGACCAGCGCTGACCCTCTCCATGAGATCCACTAGCAACTGAGAGAAAAAAATGTAAAACTTAGGTCACTTTTTTTCTCATATTTCAAAAAAATACAAAAAAATAAATTAAGAGACATTTTCAGCATTTTCTTTTGTCTTGAATACCTGTCATGAAAGCTAGAGCATACTTCTATCAGCCAATGAAAAAGTTCATGAAGCTCTGATTTACATGCTGTTATTATTGATCCAGCAGTTCATGGGCTATCATCAAACAGCCTGCTTTTTGTTTTACATAAGGAGGCTTTATAAATAGCAAGGCCATTAACACTTTACTGTCATATTTCGGGGAAATTCCAAAGAAACTGGGTGGGAAACATCGTCAATCGGCGAGATGAGGCGGCAAAGTGTTAAGTAATATAACATGGTGTCCTAATAGGCACAGTCGGACATGAATTCTAACACAACTTCCCTAGCATAAACACTTGTCTTCTATTAATAAAGGCATCCTCATCTATCACTGTCTCATGAAAGGCATCGTAGGAAGCTACATTTCCCTTGCTTTCCATCTGCAAGCTTCATGGATACATATTGACTTTCAACTTGGGTACCCTATACATGTTGTTTTACAATAAGACGATAATAACTCATCAGCCACATAACTACATCAAGCCAAAAGCCTCATTAATATTTTCGACGAGAGCAGGAGAACAGTCAATGCAAAGAGAAAAGGCCTCTTCTAAACGAGTCAAAAAGTGCACAGTCGGCACACACAAGTAGATTTCCTAAACACATCTTACTTGTATGTCTCGCTGGAGCTGTGAGGATTGCTGCAGGTTGTTCAGTGCAGCAGCTTTGTCCATTGCACTTATGTACATGTTGATCCGTTCTTCTAAGGCCTGGGCTGTCACAGGAAGGCTTTGCTGTTTCAAAATATTCCCATAAATACAAAAATCAGGAATAAATATAAATCCAATCTGTAGGTATAAACATGTTAAGTGTTAGTATCCTTTTCCTCTTCATTGTGTCAATAAAGACTACAATAACAAGACTGTAAAACAATCTAAAACGAATTGGCAAAAATCTTTCAGCACAAAACTAACAATGAAAGTAAAGTCCAAAACTATTGTTTGATTGGCCTTGCCTTCACCAAAAACTGAAAGCACTTTAAAAAAGGGGGAAAATATTTACATTGTGTTAAACCAAATAACCCCTGACAAATAAATATGGTATCAAAGACCAAGAAAAATTTTGAGAAACTTGGTGTAAGCCAATAGAACGAAAGACATTTTTAATTATATGTGATACTGCTACCAAAGTCAACAGCTAAATGATGACATTAACATTTTTCTTTTAATACACACAACATCAGTTTGGTAAGAGTTTTACAGAGCTTACAACGGCATAATATTATATGAGCACATGGGACTAAACCTTGTTGTTTTCACGATACAGCACAATTTGAATTTACTTTGCCAAGTTCGAATGATTGAATTTAAAAATGTCACCGTAAAAATTCCGTTTCAAAAGCAGTAGTTCACATTTTTTTAAAATAGCACCATCTACATCTTTGAGAAAAGATGAATGTTCTTTACAATATCAATAATTTTCGGGGGGATCAAAGACAGAGAATAAATTCTTCCCTTCAGTGCGTTAAAAATATTTACTTGGTTTCTTCTAAGTTTGGATACTCTATTAAGATGTTTCAGATCGTTAAGTCGGCATCGCATCCGACACAAAGGCTTTTCATCTCCTTGCAGGAGGTTTTTATATGTCAGGAATGTCCAATACGTAATTTCGTTTTAAAAAACTTCGGCTCTTCCAGAGGGACACAAAGGAATGACATGATGGAGTTTATTGTCACTTTGTTGACTCTTCTGTTCCTCTCACAGACTGGAGGTGTTTTGGTGCGGCTTTTGACCTTGTTTTTAAAGTCTGTATGTGGGAGAGTGTTCTCCGTTAATCCCAACAGGAGGGACAACCTTAGCAACACGATCGACCTGCTTATTCCTTTGGATGCCTACATGACTAGGTAGCCATGCAAACACAATATTATGCTTTCCAGGTTTACCAAGGAGTGAATCCTTTAGAGAAGCTTGATGATTATAGGGTTTAAGAGGGTGAAATAGGGGGCTCTCGTGGTCTAGAGGTGTTTGCCTCTCATTCAAAAGGTCCCGGGTTCAAAATCTGACAACAAAGAAGAAACTCTTCTTCTCTAAAATTTTCTCTTTTCACCTCCTTCCCTGTTCTCTAGTCATGTCATCTGCTTTCATTTCCACTTTCTCTCCCTCCCCCCTCCCCCCCACATCCTCTTGGCTCCTCTTTCCTTTCCTCCAGACTGTTCTTGAGTGCAGTTTTTCAACTGTTGACCACGGGCTCTGCGGGGTCGACAGTAGAAGTACAGGCCAACCTCATGACTGGCTGGACGGCTTTCGCATACGACTGGCAGGGACTGGGTTCACAACTCGCAGACAGTTTTGTGGGCTTCCTGCAACGAGCAGCCATTTCACACTTTGTATCGTTGAATGGTGCATTCTTGGAGCCAAGTTGAGCACTCCTTGCACAGAGCTATAAGCTCGCCATGGATATTGGGGCAGCACGAGCTAGCTTTGCAATTCCATTTCAGGATGTCCAGTTTTGTCACAAAGAGGACTCACAGCTATGTGTTGAGTGTTGGCATCGCAACTGGCTATGGCCGAACTTCTGACACTTGAAGCAGCGAAGAGGGTTCAGCACACAGGGTCCCGTGTTGAGGACCAAGTATGAAGCCCGAACAGAGGTAGGAGGGCGATACAAATCGAAAGTGAGGACAATCGTATTCATTTCAAGGGTGGTCTCTCCCTACAAAAGAGCAATCCACCAGGCTTCAACCACACCCTCATAGTTGACCACAATTACTTTCATTGAGAAGCCTTTTAGCTCACAGCTGCTAAATGTTTTGTTTTTTTAATGTAGGTCTTTTTACGCCCCCACTGAGACAATTTAGATCAATTATGAGGCGCACTTCTGACCTTGCCTGTCAGGGCCAACCCGTGCTGAGAGGGATACAACATCTGAGCAGAAAGACAAGAGATATTTGAGACTCTTTTCTCCCCACTCCGGAATCGAACTTGGGTCTTATGCATGTGACAGCTAGGCGTCAAACTACTACACCACAGATGCCGGTGCTCATGGCTGCAAACAATACTCTTCAAGCTGTTGAATTTGATGTGATGCACAGACACGTAAGATACTGCCGAAGAACGTGGTTTCAGAAGTCCAACCACTTTTTTCTCTGACAACCATTTGACAAGGAGCGCCCCTGAGGACAGCTTTTGAACATTAGTAAGGATGTATCCCAAAGCTTGTCTTGCTGCATTTCCTGTCTTGGACAGACTTTGATCAGTAATTCTCTTCTACGCATCAGCACTCTAGATGGTTAAGATCTGATCTGAAAGCTCCCATAGGAGGAAGGTGGATAGAAGCAGCCATTAAAGTCCTTTTCTTAGTGATTATAGATTTGCTTGACTCAACGACCCCACCTACTTCCACAAACCCCAAGATATTTTTTGAAAGCTTAAGAAGGGTCACTTGAGTATTTTTATTCCATATATGCAGGTGTGGTTTGGTTCAACTCTGAGGCTCCTAATCCATCAACAAGCCCACTGAAGGGACACATTGCTCGGATTTCCGGAGTTGTGCCAGGGTTACCCAGAGTTATACTCTTTACAAAGGTGGAATAAAACCTTCCATGGGGGAAGGGAAGGGGGGGTTGTACACAAACACAGTTGACTTTATCACTGCGAATGAAACAATCTTTAAATCATGCACTTGATTTTCATAACACAACACCATGTACTCATTTAACATAAAATTCGAAACATTTAAGAAATAGCAACTTTCTCTCACCCTCCCAGGGCCCCTGTTTTGCTGCCAAGACATTTTCACTCTGCAGTGTGGAGTATTTTCTCTTTCATCAGACCTGTAAAGGAGTAAAAAAGCTTCACTTTGTAAACATACAATTCTAGAAAGTAACAGTTTGAGGTTCCAAGAGTAAACAAAGGTGGGTAGGTGGGTGCAGAGGAAGAGAGGCACATACATTAGTGCTGGGCGGTACCGGTGAAACCCAGTGTCGGTAGTTTCTCAGCACTGGGTGCAAAGAAGGCTAGGAGGTGACGTCATAGACAGAGCATCTCGCATCTCACATACGCCACGATCTGCGCCGCCTGCATAAGCAAAGTGGCTCTCGCGGAACCTGATTCGAAGCCATATTTAGATTTAAGCAAACTTGGTTTTTGATATTCAATTTTGAATCTGAAGTCATGTAACAAGGTCACCCGTAGCGTTGTGCATCTAACGTAACAGCTGCTAGGCCTAGGCCTAAACACTGCACACTTCCCATGGCCCGGTAAAAAACCGTTGGGACAGCTCCTTCCCAGAGCTGGCACTGGGGGCCTGGTGCCGGTACTGACACCTCCTTCGGTAGAACCAGGAGTTCCGGTACTGGGTACCACTACCTGCCCATCCCTAACATACATAAGCTTGTTAGCTGGGGTACAGCATCAAGCTAAAAGTTGACCCATATTTGTCACACATAAGAGGGCTTTAAAAAAGATTAGAAAACCAGTTCCAGTTCCAGATTTGGTTGGGTTAGCAGTGAGAGATCTGTTAAATAACTATGACTAGAAGGGATGGCTATCAATAGGCCAAGTAAAAAAGTATGAATTACCAAAGTCTTATTATCATATAAGAAAATAAAAAGCTCATTTTGGGGGGTATGAGTGCAAGTTTTACCTCATTCAAGCGTTGCAACTGCTTCATACCCCAACCCAAATAATGAGCCCGCTAGATGGATAACATAGGTCTCCCTAAAAATGTCTATCTTAAGTAATATTCTATAAGTGCTAATGGAACAGATCGTAGTCTCTACAAAAGTAAACAGTATTATGTTATCACTATATCATGACATCACTACTGTTATCAGTTATAAATCAAGCCATGGACCACTCACAAAATCAAGGATAGTATACGACATGACTGTTCACTCTTCTGTTTACGACATAGGGAAAAAATGTACTCAATTGCGTTGGTACCAATGTCTACATTCTTGCGATATAAGGATACTTTTTTTAAAGAACGAGTCATCTTGACAAGGAATGATTGTAACAAAAGAACTTTTTCTGAAACAAAACAAAACTTTTCAACATTACTGAGGAAACACATGATTTATATTCTTGTTCCTAGAATAATAAGGTGGACACTCTGTTTTAGTGAGCAGCCTCTTCTTTGTTTGCTTGTTTGAGCAAAGAAAATCACTTTGATGTAACAGTGGTCATTTAGTGCAATGAAAAAGCAAGTCATACAAACTGCAAAAACAACAAAGGGAGAAGAAAGAAGCAGGGTGACCCCCCTCCAACTACCTGCTCTTGTGTGTATGCAACTTTTGACAAAATACAACATCGAACAAGCTATATAAGGAAACAAAGAATAAAGTGAGTATTTTTAAATCACAGTGTGTGTGTATGGAATAATATTATAGTTCACTTATTCAGTATACCTCTCTATTTAAAAAGTAAGGTTATGTAGCCTCGGGTTATTTGGTCAACAAAGACAAAAATGCTACAAAGTCAAATTTGTTTCTGTTCCCTCCCCCCCCCCCCCCCCCAATCTCATTTCCCAGAAAGCGAAACCACATTATTTTTTTTCTAATAAGAGGTTGTTATAATTCAAATTTTCGTTTCAGTCAATATCACGATTATGTTGAACAGAATGTAAGCAATCAGGTCAAGAATGAAAGTTAGTACAAGCAAAGTGAAGGTGATTCAAATTTCAAGTCAGGCTTCTTCCAACTTCCGTCAATACACTAGTGCAGATCTTTGTTTAGAAACAGTGTTTGCGAGACTATTACATAAAATTATGCTCCAGGTCTAAGGTAGATGAGGCGGAAAAAAATAGTGCAGACTGATCAAAATAATGAATATTTACAACTTCATGCTTCCGTTGAACCGGAGTAAGCAGGGCAAAAGGCCTGTTACGCTCTGTGTACTTTTCGCTCTTGAAGAAATTAATCGTCCTTTTGCCCATCAATTACTATACACGCCTCTATCCTAGCTTGAAAATATTGATCAGGTAGAACGAAACTTTGGTATCCTTAGTTTCATTTCAATCCATCTAGAATTAGAAATATTGAAATTTATATGATCTTAAATTTTTAATGACGGGGTGAGATTTTGGTGGCTAGTGCAAATTCGACAGGGAGAAACGTGGCAATTTTGAGAGGGGGTGGGCCAATTTCGACATGACTCAGATTTGTTTCAAGCCAAGCAAAAATACTAGCTTCATAAGCAGAATCAATCAAACAATCACATTTCAGTTTAATCTTGCTCGTATTTTCATTTTCATCATGGGTCGAAATCCTCGACCGCTCAGATACAAACTAGCAAAAATTTAGACTTAGACTAGACTACTCAACTGTCACAAGTTCGAAGCTATAAGTGTGTGTGTGTGTGTGTGTGTGCGTGCGTGCGTGTGTGTGTGTGTATATGCATTTGAAATATGAGTGCTTCAGGGCTTGAAATAGACCGCGGCACCGTGGCAATTTGCCTTGGTGCCTTTGCAAATTGCCGTAATGCCTTTAAAATCAAAGGGTCAACCGCGGCAATTTTTGCTGTGCCCTTGTTTGTTTGTTTTTTTAATATGCCACCATGAACATAAATCAATATTTACCTTGTGGTGTCACTTGTGGAAGAAAAAGAAAAGAAAAGTTATACAAGCGTCTTGTCGGGTTCGCCACCGAGGCAGGTCAGTGAACCTGCGCGTATCACAACTTAATCACAAAGATACGGCATCGTGTGAGCACTGGTAGTTGGGGTCACCAAAGTTCATTCAAAGTCTGAACACCGCGAAGTATGGGAGTCCGGAAGGGGGGTATTGTTTTGGGGTTTTTTTAAGATACACTCGTCGGGGGGGGGGGGGAATCTTGTCAGACTTGTCTGAAATCTCATCAAAGCTTCAGTCAGACACTGCTCAGCTTGACAATTGTATCCATTTTGTCATGGCTAGTACAAACACACTCACATCAATGATGACCAGACCTCAGCAGTGTCTGACACAAGCTCTGGATGAAAAAGAAGACTCCAGATGTGAGAGATGTGGCAAGAGATGTGTCTTCAACTAGACGTCCTGATAAAACAGCACTATTCTCTGAAATCATCTTCTCTGGTGATACTTTTCAAAATCACTTGTTTTGTCCCATAAGGGACAAACAGTAAGCCAGTCTTTTTCTATATTGTGTGTGCCGACATATTTTCAATTTTCTGATCTAGTCATAAGTCTTTTTTAAATAACATACATGTTACTTTAAAACATGTATTTTCAAAACTTGTTTTCACTTAAATATATAACAGTCAGAACCTCACACTGTTTAACTGCTTGACAGCAGTTTTTAGTAATTCTTTTTTTTTTCATACAGGTACATAGGTTGTTTTCACTCCTCATTTTTTCTTTT